CATAGGAATGAGTGACCACAGTGTTTTGACATTTGAGTATCTGGTAGAGGTAGGGATGACCTATTCAAGGATGGGATTGGAAGGAAAAAGACTAAATTACCGAACAGGAAAATATGACGAGATGAGGAACTTCCTAATGGGAATACCATGGGAAACAGAACTCAGAGAAAAGACCCTATACAGGATATGATGGATTATGTCACTCAGAAGTGTCAAGAGGCTGCAGACAGGTTTATCTCAGTGCAAAAAGTGAAAAATGAAAAGCAACAGAAGAATCCGTAGTTCAATCAGGAATGTGCAGCAGGGAAGCAATTGAGTAAAAGAACATGGCGAAACTACAGGAACAACAGAACACCAGAGAGCAGGGAAAAATACCAGAGGGCCAGAAATGAGTGAGGAGAGAAGCAGAGGGACAGTATGAAAATGACATTGCGAATAAAGCTAAGACCCAACCAAAACTGCTCCACAGCCACAACATTAGCTTGCTCAAACACCACTAATTTCCATTAAATAAATATAGACAAAACATTTCTGCTACAAAAATAAATGAGAGTAAGAATGCTTGTGGTCTCTTGAAGTGCAGGATAATTAAAATAAGACGGATCACTCAATACAGCTACAGGGAGGGCAGGAAGTGCTATTATTGCTCATCAGCCCGATGGCAGCAAAATTCAAAGAAATATCCGAATTAGTAACTGGGCGTCCACAATGCAAGCCGAGTTGGTAGCGATACTGGTAGCACTCCAAATTATTGACAACACTGAAGTAGACAGCTTAATTATTTCTGACTCCCTATCCTCACTACGAGCAATAAACAGTTTGCAATCAAGTAATAACGTGCTTGTCTTGGAAGCTAGACGTAGATATGTAAGAATACTTAGCAAGAGGGTAAATATAAAAATGTTGTGGATTCCTTCTCACATTGGCATGCAGGAACATGACAAAGTTGACGCCCTTGCTAAGGCTGCAGTAAATAAAGACAGTATTGAATGGAATCTTGAGTTATCAAATAGGTCCCTTAAAAGTGTCATTAGACGAGAACTCCTAGATGGATTTGAAGAAAGTAGACCAGTGCAAACTGGAACTAGTAGGTCCATTGTTCATCACAATGAAATGTGTGAAGTAAAACATGTGTATGGGGCAAGTAACAAAGTCAGTAGACTAACAGATGTTGTCACAGCTCGTATAAGACTTGGCTACAAGTATTTCTGGCAGTTCGGCTTGTATAGGGATCTAGATGAAGTAAAGTGTAAAGTGTGTGGACATAGGCAGGGACACACACTCGAACACTATATCTTGGATTGTTGTAAAATTGAGCCTTTTAGAGATACATCTGAGCTCACTCTGTATGATATGGCAACCTATCTTATTACCATGGATAAATTACCTGAAATCCTTGCACTGTACCCACATTTTGCTTCCAGTAGATGAACGACATATGAGATTCAGAAACAAGTAGTGTATTGTGAGGACTGGTAATGAGCAGGGGCTCCCCTGTGACTCTGTAATATCCCCATTGGCCAAACTATTATGTATTAACGACAAGACCTACCATTAATGTATGATGACTTACTGTAAAGATGTAGCTCTTGTAATAGCACTTTCTCTGTAACTAGCTGACATTGTATCTATAAGGTGTGAAGGATTGAAGAAATTGTTTATGTAATAATCTAAGATGAGGTCTGATAAAGACCTTTTGTGCCCTCTGTAATGCTTTTGCGCTACCGCTCACAGGATGAGTATGGGGTGCACAATAAACTAGCCGCCTTCGGCGGCAACAATCAAAGTTTTATATTTTATAGATATAGTACTTGTTTACAGACTATATAAATCACCACGTTAATTTCAGTACAACCTAATTGTTCTTTCAGTTATTGAGATTCTGCATTTCTTGGTCCCGCTTCTCAACTCTCAAATAACTGGTATATTACAGTACTGAAATCAATGTATGTATTTTCATTTATATTTTCGGTTCACATTACGACGGTTAATTTATAACCTTGGCGGAAACGCATACCCGCCGAAGCCGTAAATGCCAAAACATTGGCATTTGTTTGGCCCCAAAACAAATGGGAGCTGGGCCTTCGACAAGCCAGACAACCTTCCTGTCCTCGTCGAGACCGCTAGAGAGAGATACCTAAATTTACCCGAGGGCCACCCTCGAGTAAATTCAGGGGAACTATGGAACCACCTTCCCGACGAAGCTGTAAATGATAAAACATTGCTCGATAAAATCACCAGGGCAAATAGGGGACATTTGACAAGCCGCCGGCTTCCTATCCTCTTCCTATATATAGTTCAATTGTTTGCTATGGGTCAATAGTTGGTGTCCAGGGCAAGTGGAGGGTTTTTGGTAGGGCTAAGCAGTTTTTTGTTTGGTCGAGCTAGGAATGGAGTTTGGTTGTGTTCAGCTGGGACTGTTTAGCTTTGTGGGGGTTGGATGAGATGTATACTTGCTAGGCTTACACAACTGGTCGGGGTCTGGTTACACAACTAGTGGGGCTCAGGTTACACAACTGGTCGGGCTCCGGTTAATAACTGGTCGGGCTCCGGTTAAATAACTGGTCGGGCTCCGGTTAAGTAACTGGTCGGGCTCCGGGGGTGTCACCTGAGTTTTGGGTTGTGCATGGTCGGGCTTTCGTTCGTGCATGGTTGTGATCCAGAGGCTGTATGTTTGGTTCGTTTATGTTAGGCTTGCAGTTACACAACTGGTCGGGCTCCGGTTACACAACTGGTCGGGCTCCGGTTAATAACTGGTCGGGCTCCGGTTAAATAACTGGTCGGGCTCCGGTTAAGTAACTGGTCGGGCTCCGGGGGTGTCACCTGAGTTTTGGGTTGTGCATGGTCGGGCTTCCGTTCGTGCATGGTTGTGATCCAGAGGCTGTATGTTTGGTTCGTTTATGTTAGGCTTGCAGTTACACAACTGGTCGGGCTCCGGTTACACAACTGGTCAAGCTTCGGTTACACAACTGGTCGGGCTCCGGTTACACAACTTGTCAGGTTCCGATTGCATTACTCCGGGGGTGTGACTTGTTGGACTTTGAGTTGTGCATGGTTGTGTAGGGTTCGGTGTTCAATGAACGAAAAGGACATGAGCAGTTTAAATTGCGAACGCATACCAACGAATAACGCTAGTATCTATATAACAAATTTATTGTCCTGTGGAGTTGATTTAACTTCCAGACACGTTTTGTTTAATAAATATTAAAGATTTAGTGGCTGTTTATGAAAGATATTATTATAAATACACATTCTACTTGTTAATATTACCAATTAAATTTGCGACAGTTTGAGCCATGAAATGCGACGACTGGATCACTGTGTACAGGAGGCTGATATGGCAGCAAACACTCTCCAGGCGACCATATATCTTGGATAAGTGAGCACAGGCTTCCTGCCCCCCCCCCCCCAACAACAGGAAACCAATATGCTGTACTTTTAGATTCAGCTACTTAGAACAAAAGTTCCAAAGTAGCACGGGCTATGGTGAGCCCGTAGTGGACTTACCTGGCACAGGAGCGGGGCTGTAACTGATGATTGAAGTTGTTGTTGTTGTTGTTTTAGATCTAGCTACTCAGAACGAATTGTCCATATAGCACGGACTATGGTGAGCCCGTAATGATCTTGGCCAGATCTCTCTCACATTTTCATCTATCAGTAGGGTGCCTGTATGTACCCGTGAGATACAGTGTAGCTGTACCCGCATGTATCCAAGCCTAATTCAGGCAATTACAATGTCACACTGTCTAGTGGATGTTTTATGCTGCTCGTACATATAATTCTCGGTTCTAAACATGTCATAGCTCTTTATACTTGTGCTTTCTGGCCTTTGTGTGTCAGTAACTGCTCTTCTGTCTTCCTAATTTCCTGAAATATTTCGGGTTTTACAGCAAAGATTGGAATGCCCATATCCAACTCAATTTCAGGCTTATCACATGCAGATTTAGCTGTCTTGTCTGTGTCGTCATGCTGGACTACACCTATGTGAGATGGTATCCATACAAATGAGACTGAAACTCTTGCTCTTTGCATTAATAATGTTGTTTATAATGGATGTTGCAACATTCCTAGTGTCTGTTTTGCATGTTGGGTTTTTAAGGGCCTGAATCCGGCCCCTGAAGAGCTGACCTTGAATCACAGAAAATTACTCCACTGTTTTTACAGATAAAATAACGGGCTCAGGAACTGAATCCCAAAATTCATTTAACGAAGCAAGATAATTTAGATTTAGATTTTTTATTCAGGTAAATGTACATACATTGAAGATGAGTTACAAACATAATGTTGGAATTTATTAGTCTTGATAGGCTAATTACTCAGTTTAATGTATATTACAGTACTTTTTCAATACTGGGTTCGAGAACGACCACGCTAGTGCAGGTTCTAAGCTTAATAGCTTATGCGATGAGCAACCTGTCCTAGTTTCGTAAATTGATTTGCATATGTCTCCACCCTCCCCCAAGGAGTGGGTAGCGGTAGAAAAGTTACAATCACCCACATTTACTACCTACATTTAGCGAACGGCGCATAGTTGGTTAATATTTCTGATATTTTTGATAGAGTTATCTCTAAGCTCAGGTCTCTTTTTTTTCGCACACTATCACATAGTGACGGAGGGTGTGCGAATAATTTTACTGACAGTTTGCAATTAACATCTAGCAATCTGCTGATTTTATTGGATAATCCATAGATGTGTGGGTCTTCTTGTATGATAGTATGATGATAGATGGAACTGTTGGTGTAGATTTCACAAAAACAAGTAAAAATAAACACAACCATGAAAATTAATTCACAAAACTAAGGTTACAGAAAATCAACCATGTAAAAGTTAACCAGATTGATAGAACCTTTTGTTATAAATTCAAATTAGCCAAATTCTTACCTTCAGTCCAATAAAGGGGTGGCAGGATCCTTAGACGCGTTTGAAATATAGTAATTGAATAACTCCATAATGCGAGCTATGAACTCGTGCAGATATGAGGGTCCGCCACTGGACCGGTGTAGGATCGCCCTCGGTACTCTGGCAGCTGTTAGACCGCTGCCCGAGTGCCTCCACAGGAACGTAAACACACTTTCTACCTGTCACAACATTTACCTGATTGTACCTGTGATATTGCACCCCTGTGCGACGATTAAGGTTCTTACTGATTATTATTGTTCTACTAACAGTATCCTGACATATATATTTGCGAGGGGAGTCAATTATATATATATAATAGCTCTACCCAAAACGCTTTACGTGTTAGTGGCTTTGCAAGAATGTGAAAACATCAATGCTATATATTGTCATAAACCCAATGTCCCTTCTTGTATATATTAGTAAATAAATAAGCTCTGGAGCATGTGAGGCAGGGATTATTCATCCTTTATACTGACATTTTATAGGCATTGAACCTTAATACGTAGATTAATAAACTATCCATATAAGTGAAAATGAAAGAATTCTCTTCATTTGTACTGTATGTGAGGTTTACACAGGAGTCTCTTTGCCCATAGATGATATTGGTCGGTAGAATTGCCCAAAACTAATTAGAATTATGTAAGATTCCATGTGTGTGTTCTCTCACTAAACCTCTGTTCAACGTAAACATTTGGTGCAGGTGATGAATCACAATAAACTTTCGGGCAGCGTTTCTACCCGAAACGCTGCGCGTACTAGTGGCTTTACAAGATTGTAAATACTATGCTATGTATTTTCACAAACCCAATTTACCTTCTTGTATATAAATAAATAAATAACGTGGCTGAAGTATGTTGACTAGACCACACACACGAGAAAGTGAAGGGACGACGACGTTTCTGTCCGTCCTGGACCATTCTCAAGTCGATTGAACGACTCTAGTGTTCACCCACATATGGAAAGCAGCAGCCCAAAGATGATCTCAACCTTGGAGCAATTTGTACATCAAGTTGATTACATCAAGTTTAATGGGTTTAATGAATCGACTTGAGAATGGTCCAGGACGGACCGAAACGTCGTCGTCCCTTCACTTTCTAGTGTGTGGTCTGGTCAACAAACATTTGGTGACTTTCTGATCGTGTTTCTTAGAAAATATTCCCGAATATTGAGTAGTGAAAGCTATCCTGAGCATCACTAAACATTGCTATTTCATACACAGTCCATATTGCACAGTAAACATTTTCCTAACCTGCACAGACACCAGATCTTAGCTTACGTAATAATTAGATAAATGCCTGCATCTTCAAAGTTTTCCCCAGTTGAAGGAAGCTGCATCTCATTCCTTCCTGAAATGTGGCCAAAATCATTAAAATAAAAATACTGTACTGTATCTCTGGTTCCATATTCACTAACCAGTTTCATTTTGTGTCATTGCCATGCATTCCACTTTATACAGAACTGTAGATTTATACCCATCAAAATATGGCTTGAAATGATTTGTAATTTCAAATTACAAATGAAAACAGGTTCTGTATGAAAACAGGTTCTCACATAATAACACAAAAACTATTAGTGTGATCGAAGTATAGAATTTTCCTTTTCCTTTCAGTAATCACATGTGTGAGGCTTGTTTTATTACTTGAGAAACATATGGAAAGTAGCAGCCCAAAGATGATCTCAACCATGGAGCAATTTGTACGTCAAGTTGATTACATCAAGTTTAATGGGTTTCCAGGTACAGTATTGTATTACAGTACGACTACTGCATTGTGTTTATCATAGTGGTAATTTAATCAGCAGGTGTTTTTATTGTCTTATAATACTAGACAATGTTAACTTGTGACATTTGATATCTTAAATTTGGACTAAAAGCAGATGCCCAATTCTATGTGAGGATGCATTTTCAGACACCTCACATTTTACTGATCCTTTCCTAAATGTTGTGAGGATTTAAGAGGAAAAACTAAATGTGTTCCAGGACCAAGAATTGTATTACAGTTCATAAAATATTAATATGTTCAGTGAAATTTTATAATATACAGTACAATAATTTTTTCAAATTAATATATATTTATACTGAAAACGTACATGTATGCTATCTGTTTATATATACATAATTATACAGTACCATATTTAGCTATTGCACACAACAATAAAAGAGGGAACTTGAACTAGCAATTCAAACTCTTAGTTGCAAAAAACCACCATCTATGGTAATTAATTCTTGGTCTTTGATAACCAAGACTTGACTAGAATAGTGCTTTTGATTGTATCATTATTTTTTTTAGAATGGATTATTGGAAATGCACAGCTGCTTATTCCACTATATATATTGCATTGGAGAAATATAAATAATAAAGCTCAACAGAGGGTTTTTAAAAGATTGTATGTGTGTAATATTCACATTTATTATATGAAATATATTAACATCAGTAACATTAGTATGGGTAATAATGTGTATCTAATGTGTATCTAATGTGTATGTAACTCCTGTCCCCACAATTGTACATTACTCCTATGTTCTTTGTACATGAATTCTTTTGAATAAAAATTTGAATTGCAGATAAAAGTAAGGGTATTTACCCTTCTACAAGATGTCTGTCTAATGAAAATTCAGAAAGAATAGCATTCAGTTGTTGAATTAGTTATTAACTCAAAGTAGCTGTCAGGGGCAGCTGGGGTGTGGTATACTGTAATGTGATCAAACAGTACTTAAAGATGGGTTACAGAACTTTCAAGTAAATTCCTAGAAGCCATAGAAGTACCAGTAGAAACGAGAGATGCAACTTAGCATACGAAGCAATGACAGGCTTAGACAATCATGAGAGCTGCTATTTATTTTATGGATTAGGTCCCACTGGAAAAGATTCCCCACACATGGATTAGCGACCAGAAAAATTTATGAGGTAACACATTCCTGGATCTTGATTTACTATCACAGACAAAGATATGAAGGTATATGTCCCTCATTTGGTTGGATATTTGTAAACATTTTGGTCATTATACAGTAACAAGCCAGTAGAAACATGGTTTTCCTGAAGATAACCATGTTTCTACACCAATGACAGCTGCTTATCTTTCATTGGTGTAGTAAGGATCCTGTAATAATAAACTGTTGGTTTAACTTTTGTATCAGGAGGTCTGTGCAGTGATCTGGCAGAAATCACGGGAGCTACAGAAAGCTTGACTGTATGGAACACCAGACAGGACAATGGAGAGACGGTGGAAGCCATCCGTGAGGGCAAGCCTGGAGATGAATTATTGATCAAGGTTCCATATGCAGGAACACACCTCACTATCCGCCTCCTCTTCTACCTCCAAGAGCCATGGATGCCTCCTGATATGTCCTTCAGTGATATTCAGTTTTCATCAAGTATCTCAGTCAAGGATCTTGAGGAGCTGGTTAGTAATCAGAGCATTTTATTATGTGCACAGACATTTTTATATATTGCAAATTATAAATTTGCATCATCCTTCTGGTGCAAGTAACAAAAGAAATCTTACTTATTTTAGATAAACATTATAAATATATTGTATAAATAAAAATGCTCTAGGTAGCATAGTTTACCTGTAATCTAGTCACGAAGTGGGCCGATTTCATTGTCTGGCTGGTGGAGTGGGTGTCAGAGTTCATAGTGACTAGTGATGAGGTAGTGTGCTTCACTGCAGTTTCTCTCTCAATTTAAATTTTTTATGTCTGGATTAATTTTTAATATTCCCCAGGGGTGATTGATGTACAGTATTGGAGTGTCATTATTTGTAACAGTTGTTCATGTACAATAATCTAAAACATGTGTACAGTATATACAGAATTATGGATACCGCTATACAAACACTATTTACTTACATAAATATTTTTGTAAGTGTTTCGTAAATGCACTTCACTAATATTTTACAAGCTATGTAAATGTGTATGTGAATACTGTACCACCGATTTGCTCTAATCAAGGGTTCTGCAGTCTGTTATTGTCTCAGAAACTGTCAATGATGAACAGTGCAAAACCACACTCTTCACAAAAACCACATAATAATAATAATAATCACAGAAATCTCATTAACGTGATATATATCGGTGAAAAAATCCACTAGGACTATAGGTAGGCATGAACCTATGACCCTGTCATTGCCAGTTGCGTACTCTACCACTAGACCATCGAGGACTTGCCAGTCAGTGGTCAGACATTTGCAAGTCAGTGGTGGTTTAGTGGTAGAGTACATGATTGGCAATGCCAGAGTACTGTAGTGGGTTGGCGCCCACCTTGTGATCCTAGTGGATTTTCTCAATAATAATAGTAATTATAATAATAATAATAATAAATAATAAATAATAATAATAAATAATACCTGTAATAATAATAATAATAATAAATAATAATACAGTAAGAAAAAATAATAATAATAATATCACAATTCTTAAATAGAAAATACTAATGTTAAATTTGACTGAAACCCAATTTGTTTTTACCATTTTTTCATGGCATAAGATCTATTTTTGTTTTTAATTAACTTTAGTAAGAAAACTTGTTATTACAGGTGCCAACACTTAATAATTGGAACTGTTCTGAGGATGATATAATTGCTCAACTGCTTCACCAGTTATTACAACTATACAAAAAGTACCAGGTAAGGGAAAATAGATACAGTCTCCTAATACTATTCAGCTTGGCCGTTTTCTAAAGCATGATCCATTCTACTTCCAGAGGAATGGATCATATGAGTCAGGGCAGGGTAACATTCTGTACTGGCATAAGAGATACCTGTGTCAGGTCATACCAGTGCTAGTTCATCATAAATATTTAGACATTTCAAACAATTTTGGCCCAACATGAACTGACAGTACTCTTACAAATTGTCTATTTAGTCACCTGGCTGCTGCCTCTGACCGCTATCAGATGGTAGCTTCCATGCCAATGTCAGATCCCATGCATCAAGCCCAATCACATTCTTCCTCACTGGTCTTCATGACAGAGGGGCAGGCTCACTAGACTGAATTTATTCCAGGGATTTTTGTCATCCTTAGAGACTTAGTATTTCTTGCTATGGCAGTATAGTATATTTATTATATTGATAACTTCTGATGTGTGCGCAGAAAACTATATTTCCTGTCTCATGTCTTAACATACTAGCAACCCAGAGTTACATTTTATGTTTCAGTTCAGTTTGTGCATCAGCAATGGGTTCCTTCTGAAGTATTTCCACTACAATTTCCCCTTCTTTTTACTTTTTGACTAGGGCTTGGCTACGTTCTATGGAGCTAGTTGTACAGGATTCAGTTTTGGTCAATCGATAAATCTTGCCTTTGAACTCGGGCATTCCTTACCCTTACTAGTCATGGCTGGTCTCGGAGATGTATTGCAAGTTTCTACAGATTGTTTGCCACTTGATTCTATTTGCCTTCATTCTTCCTCTTGAATCCTTGATTCCTGTCTTCATAATTTTTATATTTGTCAATCAGAATATGACTGGGCTGAAGACAGAGGTCTGTGTGTGTCAACATGGATGCTCTCATCCTGTAGCAGTTAGGGGGTAGTTGCAGGGTGTGCAAGAGTGCTATAGATCTTTATTTGTGATCCTAAATAATAACAATAATAATAATTTATTATTGCTATTATTTATTCAACAATATACAATACATTGAACATGTTAATGTGGTTACAAAGTAAATTAATTGAATATTATATAAAGCTATAAAGCTTATATAAAACATTTGAAAAGATCTCTGTGTTGTTGCAGAATGTAGTCTTTCCCTGACTATCACAATCTGCTCCATTGGAAGAGGATGGATCTTGCCTTATGGAGTATAAGGAGTGTTGTACCCAGGAGGAACTTTTTCACAATGTTGAAACCTGTTTTTCTGTATAAAAATGCCTACTTGTTGTTCAGTAATTTATTTCATAACTCATATTCCTCTATGAAACCAAATACCCTTACTGTATTTTGTATTCTCTCTCTCTCTCTCTCCTCTTTCTAGCATACTAGCTTCCATCAAAGAGACATTCCACTAGTTTTTCCCAGGTGCATTATTCATTTGACTTTAATAGCTATTATCTATTATGTAATCTTTTTTAATAAGAAAACTTTTATTTGCCTAGTGAGATAAGGGGCTTATCATATTTGGTCTGTCACTTGTTCAATTTGTAGATGAATACATTTCTATTTGATATTTTCTTGTACTCTTTTATAGTGCAGTATTAAGTATGCTTTTTGCAGTTTAAAATAAAATTGCAGTATACTAAATCAAAAGTTAAAAACATAGTTATTTTCATTTACTGTACTTGAATATTCCAAGCCCTGCTTTTGTGCACTGCTCAAAACGCTTGCTTTTGCTTATCATTCAAAAGTCCTGCTTTTGCGTACCGCTCAGAAGGCCTGCTTTTGCATACTGGTCAGAAGTCCAGCTTTTTTGTACTGCTCAGAAGGCCTGCTTATGCCTACTGGTAAAAAATCCTGCTTTTGCATACTGCTCAGAAGTTCTGCCTTTGCATACGTCTCAGATGCCCTGCTTTTGCATAGTTTTCAGAAGTCCTGCTTTTGTGTACTGTTCAGAAGTCCTGCTTCTGTGTACTGCTCAGAGGTCCTGTTTCCTGAGAGGGAAAGGATCCAGGTAGTACAGTCGGGTTTGTTCTCGACATACAATCAAGAATTCTGGGTTCGATTCTCGGGCGGGACAGAAATGGTTGGGCACGTTTCCTTTCACTTTAATGCCTCTGTTCACCTAGCAGTGAGTAGGTACTCTGGAGTTAGTCAGCTTGTTGTGGGGTTATATCCTGGGCGGGGTCAATAATTCGGCCTTGGGGGAGAACCTCGATAAAAGATAAAACGTTTATGAATACACCCTGGCTTCCTGTCCCCAGACACAATGAATTTATTTTACGGGTATTTTGTGTACTGTTCAGAGGTCCTGCTTTTGTGCACTGCTCAGAAGTTCTGCTAGTGTGTGTACGGTTCATTGTAATGGCGTTATTTAAATTGTTAGTTAATATTACTGGCTCATTTCATTATATTTTTTGTTATTAATAAGATATTAATATTAGCTATAAAAAGGTGTATAATCCAAATTTTTTAATATTGGTAGATTTTGGTGCACCCTGGATATTGAGTTTTTCTTTCTTGAATAACATTTAAATTATGATGATGATAAATTAATAACTTATATTAAAGAAAAATCCTTCTGAGCTATCATATTCAGCTGCTGCTAAAAATAGTATGTGTCCAGAGGACAGGATCATGCTACAGGAAACTTTTCAAGCAGGGTTACTATGGGTGGTAGGGAGTCACTGGAGAACACGTGATTCAGCCCAGGACAGAAGCCTTTGCCTTATGCCGAGGATCCCAGGTTCGTTCCATGGACTGGACATGAATTATTGGCCACGTTTTGTTTTATCTAAATGCCTCTGTTCACCTAGCAGTAAATAGGCTCCTAGGAGTTAGGCAACTGTCAGGGGTTGCATCCTGAGAAAGGTCAGTAGTTAACCTAGGGGTGGAATGGGGGGGGACTTGATAAGCCTAAGCACAGGCTTCTTGTTCTCAACACAGGATTAGTCATAAAACTGCCCTATCATTTGATTTACTGAATATTGCAGCCCACATCTTTCAATGATATCATTTGTTTGTCTTCTGAATGCTCCTTAGATTATCCATCTTTACTGCTCTAATTATAATGGTTTAGACTTACCGGAAATAATTTTACAGCTGGAGAAGCTTGAAGATGATGATGTTCTACAGTTTGAGTACCAGTCTCTCTTGAAGACTCTTCAAATTGGGGAGGGTGATATTGAGGTAAGTTTCCATAATTGTTGCTAAATTAAAGGTGAATGCATCTGTGTGTTCTTATATTTATCAGTAGTGTCAATGCTAATGTTACTTCAGTTATCATCTAATGCTATTTTACTTTTCTTTCCTTTGGGGTGGAATGTGTATTCATGCTACCCTTATATGCATATATGTAATTTTGCTTTGCATAAGTTAACATTGTTTTGGGGAATTTCTCTAATGAGTATTTACACTATAAATAATTTGAAGATATAAAGTATCAGGCCAGCTGAAAAGTATCGTTTGCATGCATCATGTAAAATGCTAAGATACAGTAATGCCTTACAGATTTCAGTGAGTGGTGCAGGACATCGTGCTTCATCCCTGTTGGTACGCCTGCCATTGAGTTTACAGGACGTACCACCAGTTTTGATTGATGCTAACCCAGGCTCAGCAACTAGTCTTCTTCAAGTGACCTTTCAAGGTGTAAGTATACAGACTTCATCCCCAGCATGATCATTATTAGTAATGGTAATGTCTTCTCACTGACATAATAACATAAGATAAAAACCCACACTTGCGTATTTGTGAAATTTATGTAAGGAATTTATAACAAGTCTTTCGCACTCTCCTGTGTGCTTTATCAGACCCTGATAAAGCACTCAGGAGAGTGCAAAAGACTTGGTGTAAATTCCTTACATAAATTTCACAAATACACAAGTGTGGGTTTTTATCCTATTATTATTATCCCCATTTAAGGTCATTACAGTTTTTCATGGTGTAAATTCCTTACATAAATTTCACAAGTACACAAGCGTGGTTTTTTATCCTATTATTATTATCCCCATTCATGGCCCTTACAGTTTTTCTCGCCAGGTTTAACTACAGTCACCTCCCTGTTGTACATGACAGGATTTAATGATGACTGCTTTTACATGATGACTGAGGAATAATTTTAACCATTTATTGAACCAATGCAGTTGTATGGGCTAATTGTTTCAATCTGTCCTTACACAATGCAATGTAATTCTGATGCTATTAACCACAGTATCAAAATTCCTGTGCTTGAGTGACATTAAAAGCACTTTAATATTGTTGATTCATTAGACTACTGTAATGATCACCAACTTCAGCAGATTGGTTCAGTCTGTTATGTGGCTGGTTCGATCTCCTCAAGTCTTCACGTTTGATCTTTCTGACTCGAGTCTCTACCACTTGTATGGTGAGCAGGTGGCTTCGTTGATGATGTCCCACCTGCGTGCTTCGTCTCGGTGGCAGTATGAAGTTTCCTGGCGGTCCTTCCGGTATTTCTTGTCCCTTCTTCAGTTTACTTCGGTTTCTGTTTAGGTTGTTTTGTTCTTCCTTTCGTAGTTGTTCCAGGACCGTCATCTTATGCCGAATACTGTCGCCTTGTATTGTGTGGCATTGGTGGAGCTGCTGCAGCTTGAGTTTTGCATTGATGTTACTTTTGAACTGTTCCGCAAGCTGTCTTGGGCGTTATTTCACCTCCGGCCTGCTCATGCGCCACCTGAGCCGTCGTGGTCCTTGGATCGGGTGCTCTCTTTTCTCTCTCTCTCCTCGGTTTGTGGTGGTTCCTTTGGTTCAGGGATGTTTCTCCAAGGCTCTTTTTTCCTGTTGGCATTGGCCTCTGGGGGGTCGGGTTGAGGAGCTTCATGCTCTCCTCCGGCACAGGGGTTTCTGCTCTTTCGGTCCTGTTGGTAGGTTTGTTTGTTTGCAGCTGTCTCCTTTTCTGGCGTAGAATGAGATTGCTGCTTTCTGGAGGAGTCCTTGGGTTGTTGATGCTTGGTTGGTTAAGCCGGAGATGCATCATGTGTTGTGTCTGGTTGCAGCTCTCAGCCGTTACCTGCGCACCATGGCCTCTGGCCGGGGATGCGCTTTGGGTTGACCCTGTTTCCCTTCTTCCCTGTTCCAGTGTTTAGGTCTCCCAGGCTGTCCTCAGGGTTATTTGGTCCAGCCAGCCTGTGGTCTTATTCCCGTGCCCACAACGTTCGTCAGATTGCTGCACTGGCTGCCGTCTTCGGTAACATGTCTTGGGCTGACATTCGGGCGCGGGGCTTTTTGAGGTTGAACAGGGTCCTGGCTGCTCGTTACCTTGTCAATGTTCCTGGACCTAGTCGGGCATGTGTTGGGTTGGGTCTGCGGTTGCAGCCAGTTGTCTCGACTTCGAGTTGAGGAGTGAGTGCTGACTGCCTCCTGGGTAAGTCCCTCTTGTTTTTGTCTTTGAATAAGTAGCTCTGGGGAGCCAAAGGGGCTCCCTTCAGAAAAACCAGCATTGAATGTAATGTAACGCCATTATCTGGGTGAGACTTGGAGGCTCTCCACCAACCCTCCCTCCCACCAGGGGGTGGTTTTTGACATCCAGCTTCAGAACTGCAGTGTGGATAGCCGGGGCGGGGGTCTGGGGTTACTCCTTCCCCTCCCAGGGAGGGAAGCGCTGCGCAGACAGTAGTCTGGCGACATGGTGACATCATGCTCGTTTGATAGTTTTCATTTGGGGAGTTCTGTCCACTAGTTCAGCTTTCAGTAGCAATTTCTTAACCAGAATAGAGGTTTGTTTTGGGGCGCTTACCTTTCTGGGTTCCTGACCCAGTCAATGGCAGACATAGAATGCTTCCAACCACATAGGAGTTTCTATAGGCCATTGTTCCTCGTGCCTCTCTGAGGGGGCCTGGCTGTGGCTCGTGGTTCCTGGTAGGCCTAAGAACTACTTGCTTGACTGATGCCAGGGTTTAATACATCCATATCAGCCCGGTTAGCTCCGGGGAGCCTCCAGGTCTCACCCAGAACATGGCATTTCATTACATTCAATGCTTTTTTTTTTTTTATGTTGGCTATCTTTATATTTTTTGTTTTGATTCTTTTTCATTTGTCATTAAATTTCTTTGCAGACTGAGGGAGTGTTTGTTCCGAGGCTGCATCTATCACCACGTGTTGAATTGCTCATTGGAGGTGCAAACTCTTTAGCACTTCCAAATGTTCCTCCTGGTACTTGCCTAATTGATTATGTAGAGAGGGTGTTAGAACTCCTGGAAGAAAAGGTGCGAAAATCTGTGCTATGTTTTGAAACGAGAAAACAGTTCGTTGCTCAGGTAAGTACAAGTTTTGCAATCTTAGATTAATCCAATTCGGTGTGTAAAGTCAGATTTGACATATTTGATTAGGAGTAGCTATATTCACCTAGTTGAGCTTGCTGGGGTTGAGCTCTGGCTCTTTAGGGCCACCTCTCAACTGTCAACCCAAAAAAAAAAATTTCCATCCCCCCCCCAGGAAGCAGCCCGTAGCAGCTATCTAACTCCCAGGTACCTATTTACTGCTAGGTGAACATGAGCATCAGGGTGAAAGAAACTCTGCCCATTTGTTTCTGCTATCACAGGGGATTGATCCCCGGACCCTAGGATTATGAAACCCAAGCGCAGTCCACTCAGCCACCAGGCCCCTTAGATATTTATTATCTAAGTTTTAATGTTATAATAAATTATAACTAAATTATAATAAATATAATAATATATAATAAATATACTTAATAATATATGAAATATAATAATAAATATCTATAATAAATTATATTGTCCAGGCCCCTTAGATATATAGATAGCTGTATTTATTAAGTGGTTATTAGTTCTGACATATTTAAACAAAAATTAAATGTGATGGCTAAATGGTGTGTAATCTTGAGAAAAAGTCACAAAGCTCTGCATGGTATGTGTTGGCTGCTGCTGGGGCTCAGACTTCAAACTTAGCTATGGACAGGAGGAGATTTTTGTAATTTTATATTTTTATTTGTATTTATTTATTTATACATGCAACAGTTCTTACATTTTTGTACAGCCACTAGCATGCGTAGCGTTTTGGGCAGGTCCTTAATCCTAATATTTCCTGGAATATGACCCACCAAATTGTTTAACCATTGTGCTGCTCAGGCTCCAAATATGGCCCTCCCCCCCCCCCCCCTGTGCGCAGGAAATAAATTCTTGACAAAAAATTTTTTTGTTTTTGTAAATGTTAAATACCCTTTCCTGATCACAGATATGTAAAAAAAAATTTAAATTGTACTTGCAATGGGGTCTGGAAAATGGTGTGTGACGTCACGATTTGGTGGTCGCCTGTGGCGTAGACTCCCTGGGCCAGTTGCCCGCCAGCTTCAACATGCGCGAGTTGCATCAAATAATTTTTTGTTAATTTTTTGTGTACATTTCCAAATACATTTGTTTTGTTTTTTCTTGCCTGTCCTCTGTATAATGAGCACGTATACAGTATTATGGCAGTAGAACATCCGTACTGTCCCAAGACACTGTGTTACATACATCACAAATGTGTTTACATACTGTATATTGCTCATATATCCAATGTTTCATGTGCAGATGAGCAGTCACAATAACATGGCTGAAATATGTTGACCAAACCACACATTAGAAAGTAAAGGGACGACGACGTTTCGGTCCATCCTGGACCATTCTCAAGTCGATTGTGATTGAGGAACATAAGATTACACAGCATTTAGCCATCACATTTCATTTTTTTTTTAAATATGTCAGAACTAATTACCACTTAATAATGGTCCAGGACGGACCGAAACGTTGCCGTCCCTTTACTTTCTAGTGTGTGGTTTGGTCCAATGTTTCATGTTCATTTATGTATATTTACAACATATTTACAGACTATACACTATCACACACTATATACACGCATCATCAGCACACCCAGAACTCTGCGAGTTTGTGCTGCCACACCTAGCCAGCCCTCCCTCACTCCTCCAACACCGACACTACGAGTATGACGCCACCTCCCTCACCAAAATGGCTCCTCCCAACATACTCCTGTTGCTGTTATTACACTATATACACACATTGTATATACCCATGTACATATGTGTTCGCCATAGCGAACCACTAAGCTAGTATGGAGAGCAAAACAAGAGTGGCTGCCACACACAGTGATGCTACCTCAATTCCCTCCCCTCCACCAAAATTCCTCCTCCCACAATACTATGCACATACTATGTGCATGGGTATATACACACGCATTGTATATACCCATGTACATATGTGTTCACCATAGCGAACCACTAAGCTAGTATGGTGAGCAAAACAAGAGTGGCTGCCACACAAAGTGACGCTACCTCGATTCCCTTCCTCCCACAATACTACGCACAGTGCTAATTATCACCACAATCCTGCTATTGTCACAATCCTGGTCACTAAATTCTGTAAATGAATAATTGACCACAAGTTTATTTTGTAAAGGAACATAAGAAGTCATTTGAAAATTCCTAGATGGGCAAAATAATGCTGTGGTGCTGTGGCTAGTGCTGTGAACATCGTGAACAGCATTGATTCACTGATATTTGAACATTGTACACAGTCATTATCACACTCAGTTTCTTCTGTAATACTATCATGTCTAAATAATACCAGTTACATATATATATTTTGACATTATTAGGCGATGCTGTGACCACAAACTGAACAGCAGTGCTGTGCACTCATGCTGCGTGCGCCAGCCTTGGTTGCTCACTCATTACTGAGGCTCTCACACCCGGGAATGTTGCCCACGACTTTTAAAAATGGCATCTGTTTACAAGAGCCCTGAGGACGCTGATATGAACCCCATGTAGCCGTGGGAGTTTTGAATCATACGTTATACCTATAAGATCCCGGAAGCGCGTCCCCCTCCCCCTTCCCCCCCGTCAAGCGTCTGCAGGCGCATTGTGCGGTTCAGTGGTTAACAACTAGGTACCCATTTTACTGTTGGGTAAACAGGCTACAGTTAAGGATTGGCACCCAGTAAATCTTTCCTAACCAGGATATGAACCCAGGCCAAAGCGAAATGCCAGGCTAATTGTGGCCATCTAAAAGAGATCATTTGCTGATAATACTATGAAGCAGGTAATATTGTGATTGTTGTTTTCTCTATACTCCTACTTAGTAGCCCCTTCCTTAGGTACAATTCTGCAGTCACAGCAGGAAGTGAAGCATACAGGCATGCAGGGTGGCATTCTAGGTACTTGCACAATGGGAAACTTTTAAAACATATTTTTTACAAATTTACAAAGGTATTTTACTGTATTATACCTTTAAATAATCCTCAAATTATGCTGCAATGTACCTGTTGATAACCCTAAAATTTTACTTTAATGTGCCTACTAATGTTTGTTAAATTTTCTTACAATGCACCTGTAAACATTTTTTCAATTTTGCTAGAATTTTCCTACTTAAAATTATTTGTTAGCGTAAGGACCTGCCTGAAATGCTATGCATGCTAGTGGCTTTACAAGAATGTAAAATGTTAATGCTATGTACTCTCATAAACCCAATGTACCTTCTTGTATAAAAATAAATAAATAAATACAAATAAATATGTACAGGTCCAGTTTGCTAAGATCCCAGCTGCATTATTGCAGTATGTTACATTGCCCTGACTGCATAGTTCTATCCTTAGAAATAGCAGGAAAGTCTAGCCTTAGAGAGCAACTAAACACCATGCTCGGAAGGAAGTTTTACAACTACTGTACTCTTAGAATTTTTTATACGAAAGCAATTATTGTAAGGTTACAGTGAGGGGTATTGTAGCTGTTGATATGCATGTTGTAGCTTCTGATATTAGCAATACTAACATTAAAACTAAAGAGCTTCATATAAAATTTAGAATTAGGGCTCAGTGCTCACATTGCCTTTCAAGGCTAGCAAAATATCTGAGCTAGAATATATAAAAGATCCTCAGAACTTATATGAAATAAATTAAGCATCTTAACTAGAGAGAATGTCTTATAGCACACATGGTTCTTCATAGTCTCGAAAGTTTGGCACATCTTTTGATAATTACTTATAGCACACACTATGTACTCTGAAACAAAGACAAAATGTCTAAAAATTAAGATTTGTAAATTACAAAAAGCATTGATGCCATAGCTAGGGAAGCCTGGGCTTAGGCCAGGCTTCAAGAGTAAACATCTCTCAAAACTAGCAGTGGAATGCATTGAAGGAAGAGGTTGTTGAAGCCGGTTCCATCCAACTTTAAACAACAAAAAGTGATATAAATATTAAAGTTGAGAGGAGTAATTAGTGTGCCAGGTATAAATGACTAGGTGAGGCATAAAGAGCTAGGTCTCACTTTCTCATAGTCGCTGATAGGTAAGGTAAGGATGTAAGCAAACTAGTGACCCACATTATATTCCAGGTGTTGTGCCAGTTTGGATGTGCTGTGGTGGAATATGATGCTGAACGCTTTAACAAGGTCGTGCTTATGTTTGAAGTGAAAGACTTCCATTTTCTTACCTTCATTACTCTTGGTTCAAGTTTTCCTCAGGTTAGTATTTAATTTGTTTGTTAATTATATACTGTACAGTATTTTGAATATAAAAAATATATACTTAGATTAAGTACTAAAGTATGGCCTTAGCTTCCAAGATCAAAAAGGGGAGGGGTGAGCACAGACCCATGATCACCAACACTTGCTACCACTGGCTTAAATATTATGAAGTCAGTTATTATATCTTGATATTAATATATCTTTATCCATTTAACTAGCATTTGAGCAATAGACTGAATGATGAGCATTTCCATTGTAACGGCTGATGTGATGGCATTTCAGGCTTCATTTATTTTTGTGTGATATCAGTCTCCTTGGGCCCCCCCAGAATGCACGTGTATGATCTCTCACCATCTCTAAACGTGATGTTTGCCCCAAAATTTGTGTGTTAGAATTTTAGCCACATAATTGTGATTTTAGCTTGTAGTATCCATATCAAACCTTTTACAAATGCACTGACTTTTAAACATTATTTTCTTAAAAAAAAAAAGGGGTACCAATTGTATTTCATAGAAAAAAAAGCTCTGGTGTGAAAATGTTCATCTCTGGGAATAATGTAATTCGTACAGTATAGGTTTCATCAAAAAATAATAGAGTAGTCAGCACTGTTAGCAGACTTTGACCCATTCATGAATAGGGAAGTAGCACATAAATGGCATTTAAAATCTTCAATGAGAAGGCATTTCTTAACTGTAAGGTGAGGTATAAGTCTTCATAGTATAGGTTAGGGCCTTAACAAGTTTAACAAGTGAGGCCCTCTATAGGGACAATCTAGGAATAACATGAGGGTACATATTGCAGACGTGTATTGAGAGAGAGAGAGGGAGAGAGAACCTTGTAAACAGGCCATCCTTGCAGTAAAAGAAAGTGAAGTGTGTACAAGAGTGAATGAGGATATTGGAAATGAACCACATTAAGTGTCAAAGGCTCTACCGATGGCAATGGTCTTGTAACAATGGAACATTGGTTTTTACATAAAAGCTCTGGTTTGGGGAATAATGAAAAGTTCTAGTGCCAAGGTGCAAATCTGTATCAAGCAAAGCACCAGATTATGACGAAGGGTTGAGGGTGAAGTCGAAAAATGCATAGTCTAGTTTAGACAACACTAGGCAGGAGTACAAATTAGGGAGTATTTGCCTATCTTCCTGCTCCCTAGGAGAGATGTGACAAAACTGTGAGTAATGATTTTGGAATATTTAACCCATAGACAATGGATATGGGATGACCATAACGGGTGGGTGTAAAAGATAATGCAAATCCCAAGAGTTTTGCATTATTTCTATAAACAAGTTGACTTCTGTAGAGTGACAAAGATAAATGGGAAATGACATGCCATATCTCCTTGTAAAAGTCATAGCATGTTTTTGTTGTAGAGAACGTGAAGCCATACCTCATAGCCTAGGACGACATGCTATTAGTCGCAAGGTGGAGCCAATACCGAATTAAGGAGTAATTATTACTGTGAGAGTAGATAGTAAGATTGTCTTACTATCTTACTATCTATCTTAGATAGTAAGAGTGCCTAAAAAACTCCAAAGAGAAGAGGAAGGGCCACCAGAAAATCGAGGAAAAATAGTTGTGCTTAAACTACTGCCCTGAAAAATGCCTTCATATTGTTGAAGTGAGACAGAGAGAGCAGTCCCAAGTTGCACCTTAAGTGTATGACCAGAGAGGAAGCCTTGAAGGAAAAGTAGTAAATTAAGGTAAAAAAGAATGACTACAACCAAGGTATTCATAGAAAAAGCACTATGGATATAAACCTTCAAATCCACCAGGATGTCAGTAACAATAGGGAAAGAAGAAATAGGAAAAATGAGGGAAAAAGAAAAGGGGAAAATGGAAATGGAAAAATCAGAGAATTAAATGATAACTGACAAGCCATCTACTTATGCTCTTTTTTCATCAGTTGTTCCCTGCTTAACCATTGTTACTTCCAGTGTTTGTTTTTCTTGACCGTCCTGTGTTCTATGGTCTTATAGAGATTACTCTCTACCACAACAGTTGCAGGCACCAAAGATAGTCCTGCAGTCGCTGTATCACAGTGGTCCACGGGAGCCATACTCCAAGGAGCTCACCGAGGTCAAGTACAGTCCCCAGTGGAATACAGAGGAGATGGTGAGGAACATAAAGGATATCATCCTTGCAAATGTCTCCACATTCCAATCCTCCTCTATTAGGGCACCCTGAGCAAATCCTTAATTATAAACTTGTATAATATTATTGTCTACTTGTAATTAATCTTGTATTTTAATGCTCCAGTAGGCCTAAATTGTAACTAATTTTTTATATTTCTAATAATAGAAATAGGTAAAGTGAAAGTAAATTTAAACATGTCATTTACTAAACCAAATTATGATAGGAAATTACTAGCTGTTTTTAATTCAAGTGGAATGTGTGTGTGTGTCAACATTGCTATGTACTTTCACACTACAACATGTGATTTTACTTGGATCATTTTGCTTTGCAAAATCAAAGAATTTTGTACTTTAATTGAAAAAAGCATACTTTTCCTAGTTTTTGTAAGTTATGATTTTAAGAACAGTGATGCTCATAAGGTCAGTACAATGTAGTATATACATTTTCATACTATAATCATTGTGTAATCCTGTCATTTTGTATATAGGCACAATATTTTTATGACTAAGAATTTGGCACTTTTTGTAGAAAACCTTAGAAACTCTCTGCAATTTATAGTGTATTGCAAGATTTTCATAAAATAGTATATGCCTAACATTAGTGTATTGTAAATGTATAACTGTAAATGACCTAATAAATTTATATTATTTTTCTATCATTATTATTTTATTAACCACTTATTTGCATGTATGTATTGTATATGCTGTTGCAACCATCACTAGTAAGCAACCAACGCTGAAGGGTGATGATAATATGGCCTTCTTATCTTGAGAGGTTATCTTGAGATGCTTTCGGGGCTTTTTAGTGTCCACCCCCAGGAAGCAGCCCGTGACAGCTGACTAACACCCAGGTACCTATTTTACTGCTAGGTAACAGGGGGCATAGGGTGAAAGAAATTCTGCCCATTGTTTCTCGCCGGCACCTGGGATGAAACCCAGGACCACAGGATCACAAGTCCAGCGTGCTGTCCACTCGGCCGACCGGCCTGGTGTCTAGTTCACAACCAGCAAGTGATTACAGAAGTGTGGATTACAAGAGGGTTACAGCCTATCTGCAAGGACTGCAATTAGAGAGAAAATTAGAAGGGAAGTCAGTAATGATGGAATTCATAGCCTGGAGATGTACATATGCCTTGGCGCTGTTCAGCCCACATAAGATGGAAGTAGACGAGGAAAGCAGAGTAAACCCTTGTTTCAGTAAGCAGTGAAAGGACCTTAAAAAAAAGGACCAGCAAGCATGTAAAATGTATTGAAAACTTGAAACATAGGACAATAGAGAGGCACCAAAGAAAGCCAGAAATTAGTATAATGTATCCTTGAAAATCCAGACACTGCAATGGATTTATTTAAATAACAGATCAAATCTACCCACTGGACTTCTATGTGAAATTTGTTTTTTTATTTAAAATTTTGGATGCCAAAAGGAAATGAGATGAAAACCTTTTTGTTTCATTGCTTTAAAGTAATTTACATTAAATTGTGACTTTTGTTATTTATTTTTGGAAATCATACTTTCGTATTTGTAAATATTTTTTCTGGTGGAGGGGGGAGTCCCTACGACTCCCCGGAGCTAACCAGGCTGATAGAGATAGTCCTAACTTTTGGCATCAGTCGATGTGGGAGGAGTTCTAGGCCTACCTGGGACCACAGCCAGAATCTGGCCCCTTTAAAGAGGCACGAGGAGCAATGGCCTATAGAAATGCACATTGATTTTGGAGCATTCTATATCTGCCATCGACCGGGACAGACACCCAGAAAGGTAAGCGCCTCAAAACAATCCCCTATTCTGGTAACACCAACAAAAATAATGAAACAAATGGACAGAACTAACCCAAGGGAAAGCGACCAAACAGGCATGATGTCACACGAGCTGCGCCGCATGTCTGCGCAGCTCCCCCCTCCCTGGGAGGGGGAAGGGGAGCCCCACACCCTCGCGATCCACACCTTTAGTTCCTCGGTTGATGGGGATAAGGCTTAGTCGTTGTGGCTCCAGCTCCAGATTCTCTTTGTGCTGTTCATGTGTTCAGTACTTCTCTTTGGGGACGTGCAAGCTGGGAGAAATATTCCAGGGTACTCGAGCTGCATGCGCTTAGGGCTAACTTCCCTAAGTGCCCTGTAAGTACCGTTTTAGGGGCTTTGGGTTACCTTCCACAAGTCACCTTGGGTCTACCTCTGTTGGACTTTCCATGCTTGACAATTGACTGCCCCGAGTGTTTGGGGTATTCCTCCCTTGTTTGTCTTGGGGTAAATGGTAGTTTTTGCACTGATAGGGGGGCGGGGTACCTCGTAGCTAGTTTTCGCCTATAACAGCGGCCGACTCTGTTCCCTCTGGGTACGCTGTCCTCTTGCGAGGTTTTTCTTTTCTTTTTCTTTTTGCCTGGCGGGGGTCTGCCTTGGTGTCCCTTCCCCTTTATATTAGGGTTCTTTGTGTTTGGTGATACCTCTGCTTCGCCCTCATGAGTGGACACATCCCGAGGGTTCAGCTTTAGCAGTGTTGGTTGGTAGCTTGGGCGCCGATTAGCAGTACCCTGCCTGGGATAACCTTTAGCAGACCCAGTCTAGGGGGCCCTGGAAAACCCCACGGGGCGCTCGGGTCCAATGGATGTGACCCCCGAGTCTCCTCTCACTTTTTTGCAAGTTTGAGGGTTGCTCTGTCCCCTTGTCTCAGGGCGATGCTCATTGTTTCTGCCTCCGTGATGCTGCCTGTTGGGTCAGTGACACATTCGACCCAGAGTCCTGCGAGCTTTGTTGCTTGTATGTGACTCAGTTCACCCAATCTGATGATGATATTATTCGGGTGCAGGCAGCTCGCATGTTGCAGGATAGGTTTAGGTTGCTGCAGCGTGAGTTCTGGATCTTAGTGTAGGGTACCATGTTCTGGGGATTCAAGAGCAGGCACTGGCTATGAACTATTTCCACTTGTAAATCTTTGGTGCTCAACTAGCTAGGAGCTTAGTAGCAGCCACATAAGAATCTTGCTGGAATGAAGACTTGAACAAGGTCACAGACACAAGGCAAGGTGCAATCAAGAAGAAAGGCGACACTGAACCCAACAGGAGACTTGTTGGATGCAAAAAGAGACGATCTTTTGGGTAAAAGAAATCTGTACAGCAATCCATCATTTTGCACTGTGCAAAACTTTTGCAGCTACCACAATGTCACCTTGGGTAACACATTAGGGGGCAGCAAAACAGTGGCTATAGCCAAGCCTGCCCATTGGGCACAATAACCAAGAGTGGTGTTGGTTTGATGTTGCATTACCATATCAATGATTTTTTTTTTTTTTGAGATATATACAAGAGTTGTTACATTCTTGTACAGCCACTAGTACGCGTAGCGTTTCGGGCAAGTCCTTAATCCTATGGTCCCTGGAATACGATCCCCTGCCGCGAAGAATCGTTTTTTTCATCCAAGTATACATTTTACTGTTGTGTTAAACAGAGGCTACAGTTAAGGAATTGCGCCCAGTAAATCCTCCCCGGCCAGGATACGAACCCATGACATAGCGCTCGCGGAACGCCAGGCGAGTGTCTTACCACTACACCACGGAGACTTCTAAAATCAACATGATGAATCAACATTGTTGATAGTGATTCGATTCAGTGTTTGAATGGCATTGGGCTTGGATATTGTGGCCACTGGATGGGATGGTTACTGAGGATAAACTTTTACATGACAAATGAACTCTCTTCAAACTGAAAGACAAGCATGTAAGAGAAAGGCCTGTAGCCTAAAAAAAAAAAAAAAAAAAAAAAGGAAATTGCTAAGTTATCATATGAGGGTAAGGGTAAGCAGAACAACCCCCTTTCCCACACACACACACAGGCAGGGTTTCAATTGAATGTATCCCATGCATGACAAACATCTATGTCCTGGACTAAAATTGCATGGAACAACAAATGTAGTTGGAAACTCACAAAAAGAACATGCACTGTGGGTGCAAACCACAAATGGAAGATCTGCATAATAACATTATCAAGATACACAATTTGCTTAGACGATAATTCTATAACCAATGTTCCAATGATGTATGAATATTTCATTCAAAATGATCTGCTACCAAAAATTTTAGCCAAATATCCCCAGTTTGCTAACTGTAGGTAGTAACTAAGTGATTGTAACCTATTTGCCGCTGCCCACTGGATGGGGAGCAGTGTGCAGGACAAACATATCAATTGTGACACTAGCTCCCCACATATGTCAGTTGCTGAATTTGGAAACTGTACTTGTGGTCGATCTCGAACCCATTGATGATGTGATGACTTATACTGAATTTTGTAACTAGCTCATCAAGATTTTAACTTGCTTAGCTAAAGGAATTGTGGGGTTCAGTCCCTGAGCCCATTATGTGCCTCTGTAATCCTTTCCACTACTGCCCACAAGATGGGTATGGGGTGTATAATAAATGAACTAAACTAAAAACATACATGAGAAGTGTTCACTAACAGCTAAAACCTTATAGAGGTCATTCCAGGCTGGATTGTTTGCCTTCTCTAATGCATTCCTAACACTCCAGCATGACCTAACAGGCATTTGGTAACATCCCTGCTGCTTAAGAGGTATAATGTGAACCAACTCTGACTAAACATGCTCTTATCCATGGAAAAAGTTGGATCTTGCATTAGGAAAACATTGAGTGTAATAGTTCAGGAAAATTTCGTTTTTGTTTTCTGCTTTCAAAGTTTGGTTTTGATATATTTTATGTGCATGACAGTGTTTTGTACTTTAGTGTTTCAAATTACAAAGCTCAAAGGATCCTTTATTTCTAATGACAACAAATGTATTCCTGGCTTGTTCATATGTAAATCTTATGTTCATATGTTTACAATCTGGATTACCAGATTGTAAACTTTATTCTTCACAGAAACAGTCTTGAACTACTTCAGTAACTGATACTGAATGATTCATGTTGACAAATACTCAATTGGTTGATAAACAAGACTGACATGGTATTGCTTCATAATACCTACTGACTGACATGGTATTGCTTCATAAATACATACCATAAAAATACCATTATTTTTTAGGTAAGCTTAACAATATTCAGTACTAGCTTGATGACCCATTTTTGTAAAATACTACACTGTATATGTAATTTGATGATTATGCTCAATTCATAGTTTCTTACTGCTTTCCTAATAGTCTGCAAAATATATTTAATGTTTGTATGCCAGCCAACACATGCAACCTTAGACCATGCAATCACAAGTCTTCAGGAAATCAAATGACCTCATTTAGTCTTGTTGGGTTGTTAATGTTTGAATTTCTATGTATTACTGTATGCTGCATATCCAAGTTATAATTAATTCTGTAGTTTACTTAGATTGTATATATAAAATACTATTTTCAAGGTCTAGGTAATCTTAACAAGCCTAACTTAAGTGAAATGCCACTTGCATTTTGGACGTACAGTACTCTATTCATTCTTTCAATTATTTAAGTTTTAAACTCAATATTAACCATTCAGCCTTTTTTGAAAGTATGCCACATATCCAAACAAAGACTTTTGAGCTTTAAGATGAGAGAACTCTTAGGTCGAACAAATATGATTCATTGTCATATTAGTTTAAAAAACTACATAATCTCATTAAATGCACATTTTCTGTATCATATGAAAGACCATAACTATTGATTTTTAAGATAGGCAGACAGAAAATACTGTAATCTTGAAAGGTTTCATACAATGACACCATCGTATAAGATTATGGCACTCAATTGTCACCCACAAGCATTTCACTTAATCCCCATGCATCATTTGTGGTTATGTTCATCACAGAAATAAGAACCATGAAGTGACACAGGTGGTGGCAAGAAGACACAGGTTATCATCACAACTTCAGCTTACAACAGGACATGGTGTCACACCATGAACTGGGAGCCTTGCGTAAGAAGGTATGTAAATCGTCATATTTGATCTGGCAGGATAACCAACAGCTAGTTTGGTAGCATTTATCACAGCAATTTGGAGATTACCTTGGTGTTTTTAGCCTTTACCACTGGTTGGTAAATCAATACAATGGCATGCTAGTCTTCACCATGTTGTCAGCACATAATTATAATGGCGACATTGCAGCCTCCATCAGAATGGTCCAGAAGATCTTTATCTTAGTTGATCTTGCAATCTTCATGATAATGATTTGGTTGCATTTATTACTGTAATTATGAATTTTCTCTAAACAAGTTTAGAGAGACTTTACCAGAGTAGCATTCATTATAACTGTCACTCTCTAGCAAGCTGGTCTGGTAGTCTTTATCTTGGTGATTTTGAAACCATCCTTTAATTAATTAATTTAATAGTCCAATCTGTATAGACTGTTACCCCCTATAAAGGTCTCATACCTCTGCTACTGATTTACATTTTTTAGCATTTGCCACATACATGTAGTTTATAGTTCCTACCAAAGGTTTTGTAATCGGTATCACTCCAAGCTTCTTTGTAGAAAGAGACAACAATAAACTTCAGGGAGCAACAGACAACTTTTGGGAATTAACAGACATCTTTTGGGAAGTAGTTCTTAACTTCTTCAAAACTAGAATACAAGTTTTTTGTAACAATATAAAAAAAAATTGGCACCCAGAAACAACTTTGTTTATATGGTACTTCAGGGAAAAATTTGGATTTTTCTAATGAGCTAAACATTTTTCATAAGTAAATAACACACTTGCATAATAAGTGTATTTATTGTATGGTTGTTGCACTGAATGTTGTTGATATAGTTGAAATTTATATTCAAGCATTATATTCAACAGTACAGATATCTTATTTTATCTATGTCAAAATCAGTTACAAAATTCAATTTGCTTTTTTTAGGAAGACAATAGTTTTATGCAAAAAATGCTGTCTGTTACAAATAGCTTTGCATTTTCAACACATTTTCACCATACTACATGGTAAGCAATAGCTTACAATAATAAATGCCAACGGTGAAAAGAAATCACAAGTCGAAGTGCCAAGATGGCAATGTGCTTCCTGTGAGGTAATATTACCAGTCCACCCTCATACTGATGCTTCCTCAATCACTGTAATACTGCGGTGGTTGCCGGATTTTATATTCACTTTTGGGTTGCTTACATTTGAAGGCTCATGACTGGATGAAGAGGCACCTTTATCTGGAGGTTTCTCTAATTTTCCTGGAGAGTCCTTACAGTTAAGTGAAGAATTTTGCCTGGTTAAGGACATTAAACGCTTCCTCCCTCGTCTTTCCACTAAATAGGGCATTTCATTTGTTTTCACTAGATTATTCTCATATTCACTCATCATAAGATAATTTTCGACTTTGTCACATGAGGTAATGCAATCTCCGAGGTACTCCAGTTCCTCCAGAAGATGGTCAGGAATATCCATATCAGCTATGCCCTCCTCAGAAATACAGGTAAGTTCAGGTTTATTCCTTTGTTCTGGAATATCAAATGCAAAGGATCGCTGCTGTAGAAGTGCGAGGGATGGAGTGTGCGCTTTATATGTTTCACGAGTTAGGTGGGCCAAAGAGTCTCTTCGGCGGCTCTCTGGGCATGTCTCCTTCACACAAGTGTGGTTAGCTCCAGATCTGGAAAAAAAAGGCATTATATAAGATGCAATAACTAATAAAATTTAACTAAATAAAAAAATAATACATTTTGAAAGGTAGCAAATTTTTTTATTCATTTGATATATGACGCTATTGTGATTTCTGTGTGTATTTTTTAATATAATTTAATGATTTGTTACACTGATCCAAAGGGTAAGTTATGCTAGCATGGGTTAGCTGTATTTAAGAGAGATTTTAAGGTCAAAAAGTGAGACTATGCAGGATAGGATAGCCACAGTGCTTTTGTGGAACGAGATTTTCCAAACTCTAATTCCTGTGCCATGAGGCCCCAACTGGATTGTAATCTCTTGCAGTGCATGAGCAAGAGCATTCTAAATCTATTCATTAAAAATGCATGCAATATCATGTGGAAGAGGAAGATATCGTGTACACTATATGCATTGATTTAATTCAAAATGAGTGAGCAGAATTGCTTCATAATTTACTCTCACACAAATTGAGCACCTTTTAAAAAATTTTGAGTATCAAATTTGAACACTGAACATGCATGAGGCATGGACGATGAATAGCTCTCAAACTCTTACAAAGTAGGTTCAGAGGGAATATCTATAGGCCACACTGATCCCATAGGGTATTGCCAGGGCCTGAAGGACAAAAACTCCCTAAACTCTGTAAATAAACGATAAAAAATTCACAAAACTAGACCGAGCTCACTCGACCCACCTCCCTTACTCATTTGGGGGAAGGAAAAAAGCAGGCTGTAGTCAACCGACTTCTCCACTCTCAGCTCTATATTCTGATGGTAGTGTGGGTCAGGTCCCCTTGAGTTTCTCTGGCTCCAGTGTCATGTTCTCAATAAGTGGCTTGGCATCTCTTTGTATGAAGCACCGTCCCTCGATTGCAATGGCCCTTGTAGTAGACTCCTTCGGCTGGTTTGGTCATATATGGGGAGGGGGGGTATCCTATCGTGCCTCTCTCTGATCCAGCTGTTGCTCCGGGTCCTGATGGGGTTGGATTCTTATCAGGTGTGTGTGATCCTTCTAGATTTGGTGGCCAGCCTACCACTGGTTCAAGCACTGCTTGCTCGGTGTTCGAACCAGGGTGTTTTTCCGCAGCTCTGCTTCTATTGGTGGATTAGCCCAGTGATGTTTTCATCGGTTTGGTCTTTTCTGCTCTACACGTCTGGTCCTTTTCATGTGTGTTTAGTGTCTTATCTCTGGCGATTGAGAGGCTATGTTCAAGGTGTCCCTCCTGCACTCTTCCTGAAGGTGACAGTATGGGGTTTGTGGTGTTCATTTCGCTACATCCATTCTCTTCGTCCCTGTCCTTCACTTTCTGAGCAGGTGGTGCTCTCTTTTTCTGCCCTGACTTTTTCTTGGTCGGCATCTCATGCTGGCTACTGTTGCCTCGTGTCGTGCAGCATTTGCAGACACACTGCAGCTTGCTTTCAGGGTTGATACTTCCTCAGCTCTGTTCCCCTTGCTGTCTCGTGCATTTGTTTCATCTCCATACTGCTTATATACCACTTGTGCTTGGTTGGTCTCTAGACCTTGATCCATCCTTTCTGTTGATTTCGGGTGTCCCCTTTGGCCCAGAATTGTTTCTAGTTTGTTTATGGTTGCACTGGCTTCCAGTTGCGGGGTTGGTGTGCTTCATGTTCTCTTTCGATGACAGGCTTTTTGTTTCTTTTTGGCCCTGGTGGATGCTTGTTAATTTGCTGCAAATTCCTTCTTTTCTGGTGAAGAATTAGTCGGTTGCCTTCGAAAGGTGTTTTTTTTGTTGTCTGGTTTGGCCAGGGAGGCAATGTGCGTGGAGTACCTAAGTGTAGTTACAGGATGAGAGCTATGCTCGTGGTATCACGTCTTCCCAGCGCTCTTTGTCCAACCCGTTCTTGACTCAAGTCAATTCCATCCAGAGGTCGACCTCACACACGCATTCATAAATGTTAATGTGCTGTTCATTCAAAACAGGAATTTTCTCAAATATAAATTAATAATATAATATATTAGCATATTGTGCATATATTTTAGGTTACACTTCACACTTCCAGAACAAGTGCTTCACTGGCGAATTTTGTTCGAGCTACAATGCTATAAAAGCTTCACCCACGTACTACAAATAATTGCCAACAGAACCTAAACACCTAACCTAACCCGTGCCTAAATATGAACAATATGCTCATATATAATAATATTAATTTATATTTGAGAAAAGTTTTGTTTTGAATGAACAGAATGTTAAAATTAATGAATGCGTCTTTGGGGTCGACCGCTGGATGGAATAGACTACGTCCGAGCTGGACAGGTTGTGGGCTGATAATTAGGTTTGGAGGTTCTGGTTGTCACACAGGTCTGACGACCGTGTCTCTTGTTCCTGTCCTGAGCCCGGGATTCCTGTGTGGAATTATGTCATCTTTTTGTCTGAATGTCTCATCCTTGGCATAGTCCCTGCAGTGCTTCCTCCCTCGTGTGTGCCCACTAAGTCCTTCAACATGGGTAGTTAGCTTCACGGAGTCACAAAGAGCTTTCCTCAGAACCAGAAGTGAATGTAATGAAATATAAAATTTCTAGGTAAACCCTGGTGGCTTCCTTACACCCTCCCTCTCTCTCTCCCTCCAGGGCATGAAGGGGGGGGGGGAGAATTTCCATCTTCAAAGAACTGAGGATGGAGCAGCTGGCTGACTGCATCCTGCCTTCCTCCTACAATCAAATGAGTGGCGAAGTTGGGATGCATGAGCTAGTTTAATGAATTTTCAATACTCGGTAGTTTGTTTGCATAGTTTGGGTCGTTTTTTGGCAGTTCTTGAGGCTGCAGTCTCATTTAAAGCCAGCAGTGGTTCATTTTGTTTCACTGATTTTCTGGATTCTTTCCTGGTGGAGGCAGACATGAATAAATTCATAGAAATTTTACTGTAAGTGCCACTGCTCCCTGTGCCTCTGTGAGAGGGGAAGGGGTAGGTTCTAGCTTGTGGTCCCTGGTATGCCAATAGAACTCCATGACTAATGGGGACCTAGTAGTATGGCTCACTTTCAAAGATAGTAGCTTCAGGGAACTACCGGGTTCATCCAGAAATTGGCGCTTCATTACATTCAACGCAGATTTTTTAATGATTATGCACAGTCTGGCTCTCAGCTATAGGGAAAATAAATTCACTTGTCCCAGAGCACAAAATTAAATATAAAATCCCACCAGGATTGTATATGTTACAAAATGTATGCACGTTACAACTAAAACGGAATCGCACATACAAAGTGATAAAATAAAACAAACCTCATTAGATAAAACTGCAACATTGAATAACATTAAAAAATATTCAACAAACATAAAGAGAGGAGTAGGTGTGGGAAGATGGTATCTTACTTGTGTGTGTGCTTGTGCTTAGCAGCATTCCTTCGATGTATGTCAATGAGGAAGATGGTCATAGAACCGAAGATGACAAATGTTGAGGAGAAGTAGTAGCCTGCCTTGTCTCCATAGCCAATGTTGATGTAGCCTGGAAATGGGGGGATAGGAAATAAATACTGTACTTGGAAACAAGTGAGGAATGCATACATGGAAATGTCCAGAGAATGCATGCCTAGAAATGGGCAAGACATGAATACCTGGAAATTGGAAGAAATATAATATTTTAAAAATTGCAAATATATATATACTGTTATATACTGTATATATATATATATATATATATATATATATATATATTCTTATATATATATATATATATATATATATATATTACAATGAAGGTGAAAACATGGGGGGATACATAAGGGATAAACATAGGGGCTGCAGAAGGCTTATTGGCCCATACGAGGCATCTCCTATCTAAACACAAAGATTAATCCAGTGTAATTGGCCTGTTATGTTGGACATTGTCTTCTGTGTTGGCATCGATATGTTCTTGTCTTCTCCTTACTCTCATGGTGGGTAGAGTGTGTGTGTGTGTGTGTGTGTGTGTGTATATATATATATATATATATATATATATATATATATATATATATATATATATATATATATGTATATGTGTGTGTGTGTGTGTATATCACGAAAATAAACACGTGATTAAGAATGTGACAATGTCAGACCACGGAGGAAAAATGAAACAGGAAATTTCCTTAAGTACTTTCGTATATTAAATACATCTTCAGAAGGTCATTTTACAGATCGAGTGATGGGTATAAATAGGCAGGAAGGAGTGGTGAAGTAAGGTGAGGTACAATACTTGGACAACGCAGACGGCCCATTGGCCCATCAGATGCACCCAATTGGCACATCCGATGTAGCCCAATGGCCCATCTGATACAGCAGACATACAAGCATAATATATAGGTAATTAATAATAGTAATGTTGGTCTGACATTGTCATATATATATATATATATATATATATATATATATATATATATATACTGTATATATATATATATAATACTAAGGAAACTACTCCAAGCTTGTTCTAAAGAGGCACCCTTCTTGAGCCCAGATGAGCACATGTATAAGCAAGTAGATGGGGTTGCCATGGGTTCTCCCCTATGTGTCCTGTTTGCGAACTTCTACATGGGTACCATCGAGCAGGTCTTAGTTGACATGGACTTGAAACCGGCCATATACTGCAGGTATGTTGACGACATTTTTACACAGGTACCTGATGTCAGACGTCTGCAAGAGCTGAAGGATGCATTTGAGCGGAATTCTGTGTTGAGTTTCACTTACGAGATGGAGAAGGATGGGAAGCTTCCCTTTCTAGATGTAACAGTTACGGAAAGGAGCGGAGGCTTCCACACTGCAGTCTACACTAAGGAAATAAACATAGGAATGTGCCTCAATGCCAACAGTGACTGCCCAGACAGGTACAAGAGGAGTGTTGTCAACGCTTACGTCGACTGTACTCTCAGCCACAGCTCAGGATGGAAGCAAGTCAATGAGGAATTCTGTAGGGTACAGCAGGTCCTAGTCAACAACGGCTTCTCTAATGGTTTTGTTGAAGACATCATAAAAAGAAAGGTAAAACACCATGCAACCTCTGAAGAGTCAACTAACACAACACCTGTACCCCCTATTAGACTATTTTACAGGAACTTCTTTTCGACAGCTCATAAAATGGAGGAAAGGATCCTGAAAAATATTGTTGATAGGAATGTTATCCCTACAGACAAAAATCAGAAAATGCAATTGACGATTTACTATAAAACCAAGAAAACGGCCAACCTACTCATGAGAAACCCTCCAGACACAAAGCAGAACGCTTTAAAAGAGACCAATGTCATCTATGCCCTCAAATGCCCACTTGGGGACTGTAAGCCTCAAAGAACTCAGTATATAGGCAAGACAACAACATGTCTTTCCAGGCGATTAACGATGCATAAGCAACAGGGCTCCATTAAGGAACATAATCTCTTCCCACAACCAGACCATCACCAGAGAAGTCTTAACAAAAAACACGGAAATCATCGATAGATACAGCGATAGCAGGCGGCTTGATATCTGCGAGGCACTACACATTAAGAAGTCAACAACAGCAATCAACAGCCAATTAATGCACAACTATATTCTACCAACTTCAAGACTCCGCACCAATATAGAAGCATCAAGAAATATGGGCCAATAGGCCCTTTGTATTTACTTCCATTCTTCCCCTTTAAATTTACCCAATATTATCCAATATTTCGTGTTCTATCTTGTGTTGAAAGTTTGTTTTCACCTCATCCAAAACTGTTGTAGCATATCACCTCACCCAAATGTAGGTATATATAATGAAAAGCCGTTTGATTTATAGCATAGTAGAACTCTGTTTAGTGTTTGCAGGTTATAGTTGTGTGTGTGTAAACAAAAGTCTTTGAAAATGTAATAAGTTATTACGAAACGCGTTTAAGTGTCGCGTCAGACTAGAAATAAAAATGAATTTTGGAGAACTGATTTTTCAATTACCATCGACAGTGAAAAGAAACATAAGAAATATTGAGAAAATTCGTGTAAGAATTATTAATCTTACTTTTTCGGTCATATTTAATAATATATATATATATATATATATATATATATATATATATATATATATATATATATATATATATATATATATATATATATATATATATATATATATATATATATATATATATATATATATATATATATATATATATATATATATATATATATTAATAGCCTAGACAAATCATGGAATGAACAGCCTAAAAATGGACAGGAAATAAGTAACACGAAAATGGGCATGGAATGAACAGGTTATGAAATCAGCAGAGTAAAATATCACTGCATGACGACTGAACCCAAGGCAAATTTTTTTCTTCTACACAGGTACAGGAACAGATAACTGCTGACTCCTGTAAGCAAGCTGAGAGATTTCCCATCACATAGTTCATGATAAGCCTTACCCATTGGTTTCCCCCTGGAATACAACCTGCCAGTCACTTAGAAACCAGGTATTCGATCACTATAGAGGGTGAACAAAGCCATACAGCTAGGGACTGGTGCTTAGTTAATCCTCTCTGGCCAGGATATGAAGCTATGCCAAATCGCTTGGGCAGAGTGGGGTGGGTATATTACTATTGTAATGCTTTTGCTCTACCGCTCACAGGATGAGTATGGGGTGCACAATAAACTAGTGCACCACCACCACCAGACTGGTGTGAATCGTTAATTAATTTTGTACATAATCTGTTTGGAAAGTAAATCTGGAGCATTCAATACCTAAATAAATAAAAAAAAATTGAAAATCATGTTTAGGCTTGCCTATGAAGAGAGCTTCTCTTCTTAAGGGTGTAATAATAATTAATAATAATACAACTACAGAAGACCAGTTAAACTTCCCTGTTTAAGGCAAGCATTTTAGAATCCTATACTTTATCTCATTCCCATATTGGTACTGAACTCTTTCCTATACAGTACTTCTTACCTTAGTCCTATTCTTCAACCTTCTTACCAATCATCTCACTCTTACCTTATAAATTGACATTCTTTACACTTTTCCATTACACGATGAAGGTCCAAGATGGACCAAAATACAGTATTGACAATTCCTTCACGCTCAGATTTGTTGGGTTGGGTGCCTAGAATCCTTAACTACAATAGAATCTCAATTCCAGTGCTCACCTGTTATTGGGACGCCAATGGCTGTAGGTATAGCCTGGGAACACTGCACAAATCCCCAGGTCCGGGCAAAGTTGCGGGCCCTGACCTTCTCATACGTGTACATTTTGAGGGAGTAGTGGAATCCCCCGCAGAAGATGCCATAGAGCCAGGCGAAGAGGACATACCCATGATAACCTGCTGGGAAAGTGTAAATTATCTGTTGGAGTACAGTATATGGCTTTGGGGGTTGACGGTAAATTACAGTTGTAGGTGAGTGAATGTGTGTAATTAATTACAGTTGTAGGTGAGTGAATGTGTGTGTGTAATTAGCACAGTGTAGTTACAGGATGAGAGCTATGCTCATGGTGTCCCGTCTTCCCAGTACTCTTGTCATAAAACACGGATAGTTTTGGCGTCCACTGCCTCCTCATTTAACTTGTTCTAATTATCTACCACTCTTTTTTGCAAACGTGAACTTAAAATATTTGTTTGGCACCTTTATTTCCTTAGTTTAAATCCGTGACCTCTTGTTCTTCAAGTTGCAAGTTTGAAGAATATTTTTCTTGTCAATTATGTAGATTCCTGCTATTATTTTGAATTTAGTGATCATGTCGCCTTTTATTTCTCTATCTTCAGCATATTAAACAGCTCTAGCCTCTCCTCATAGCTCTTGTTTTCAGTTCTTTAGTTTAGTTCATTTATTATGCACCCTATACCCATCTTGTGGGCATTAATACAGAGGCATATAATGGGCTCAGGGACTGAACCCCCACAATTTATTTAGCTAAGTAAGTTACAATCTTGATGAGCTAGTTACAAAATTTCAATACACATCGTCACATCATCAATGGGTTCGAGATCGACCACAAGTACGGTTTCTAAATTAAGCAACTGACATATGTGGAGAGCTAGTGTCACAATTGATATGTCTGTCCTGCACGACTTATACTGAATTTTGTAACTAGCTCATCCAGATTGTAACTTGCTTAGCTAAATAAATTGTGGGGTTCAGACCCTGAGCCCATTATGTGCCTATGTAACCCTTTTCACTACCGCCCACAAGATGGGTATGGGGTGCATAATAAATGAACTAAATTAAACTACGGTCCTGCACACCGCCCCCCCCCCCTATCCAGTGGACAGCGGTAGACAGGTTACAATCACTTAGTTACTACCTACAGTTAGCAAATTGGGGATATTTGGCTAAGATTTCTGGTAGCAGATCAATTTGAATGAAATATTTACACATCTCTGAAACATTTTCTATAGAATTGTCTCTGAATTCACGTATCTTTTCACACTCCATCACATAGTGACGAAGGGTGTGCGAATAATTTTGCTGACACGGCTTACATTTGGTCAGGTCTACATCAGCAGATAATGAGAACACACCTCTATAGATGATCCATAGATGTGTGACTTCTCTTACATGATAGTATGATAGATGGAATTACTGGTGTCGATTTCACTTTACCTCAGAGGATCAACAGTTACTCAGTACTATAAGAAGTTGAGTATTTTCTTCATTGTGTAAGATAGACAAACTGTATGATGGACATTTATGCAGAGGTAATTAGAAAGTTTATGTACTCTTTAGGAAGAGAGAAGTTGATTCCAAAGAATGGTTATAGTCACTAATCAGTAAAACAGATTAGTGACTGCAGTTACTATTGTACAGTATTCTGAGTACTGCCCTGTGGTACTCCACTAGTAAGACTTTTCCAATCTGTTACATTGCCTCTGAGTATCATCCTCGTAGGATGACAAAGTTAATCCCACAAATTAGAAACCTGTCATATGGCGAAAGATTGACAAAGCTTAAATTACATTCACTCGAAATGCGAAGAGTTAGGGGTGACATGATAGAGGTGTACACGTGGATGATTGGATATAACAAAGGGGATATTAATAAACTATTAAAAGTAACAACACAAGACAGAACACGAAACAATGGGTATATATTGGATAAGTTTAGATTTAGGAAAGACCTAGGGTAAATATACTAGTTCGGTAACAGGGTTGTTGATTTGTGGAACCAATTACCACATAACGTGGTGGAGGTGGGGGTCCCTTGATTGTTTCAAACGTGGGTTTGACATGTATATCAGCGGGATTGGGTGGTTATAAATAGAAGCTGCCTCGTATGGGCCAATAGGTCTTCTGCAGTTACCTTTATTCTTATGTTCTTAAGAGTCTGGGGAAGGGGTCAGAGGTAAGTGTGTGGGGAAGGAATCTAAGGTAAGAGTCTGGGGAAGGGGCTAAGCAATGCTGGACCTGAGGGAGGGGCAGGGCAAGGCAGGGTGGGAGCGGCAGCAACAGTGTACTGCGCCATTACTCAAAAGTGGCGCAAACTTTGCTGGGAAAAGATTTACTGGAGAAAAACTATAACACCGCCGGAAGCTCGGCAATAAGAATGCCGACCCAACGGCTTCCACCAACTTTGATCATAAATTAAATGGGATTGTTGATCAGGCACGCGCACACACGTAACAAATCTACTTAGTTTGTATGATAGAGCCACAGAGATTTGACAGGAAAGAGTATGATGGGTTGACTGCATTTATCTGAACTTAAAAAAGGCTTTCGACAGAGTCCCACAAAAGAGGTTGTTCTGGAAACTGCAACATACTGGAGGGGTGACAGGGAGACTTCTGATATGGATGAAAAATGTCCTGACAGAAAAATAGGGGCAGTAATCAGAGGTAATGTATCAAGACTGCAGAAATGTTACAAGCGGAGTACCAGAGGTTTCAGTTCTAGCGCCAGTAATTAATTTCACTATATAAATGATCAACAATAAGGTATACAGAATTATATGAACATGTTTGGGAATGATCTCAAGCTACTAGAGAAGATAAGACACTAAAACTAGTGTCGTGCAAATGGAATTGAATGTGAATAAATGCACATTGTTCCACATTGTTCCACACTCCACGTTCCACATTGTGGAACAGGAGTAGGTAGGCCAAACATAATATACAATTATACGAAAGGCTTTAAAGAATTCAGACAAAGAAAGAGATCTAGGGATAAAAAACTATCACATGAGGACCACACAGAGTACATTGTGCTTTCCACTCTAGAATTGCTTTTAAATACATGGATGGTGAAAAATTAAATTAACTGTTCACGACCTTTGTGAGACCAAAACTGGAATATGCAGCGGTTGTGTAGTGCCCTTCACACATTGTGTGAAGGGCACACAATGCCCTTCACAATTAATTGCCCTTTTCCAATTAATAAATTGGAAAAGGTGCAAAAAGACATGCAGGTAAATAGCTTTCGGAACGCGCACACACGCACACACGTGTGCGTGTGGGGGCCTCGTAGCCTGGTGGATAGCGCGCAGGATTCGTAATTCTGTGGCGCGGGTTCGATTCCCGCACGAGGCAGAAACAATTGGGCAAAGTTTCTTTCACCCTGAATGCCCCTGTTACCTAGCAGTAAATAGGTACCTGGGAGTTAGTCAGCTGTCACGGGCTGCTGTGTGTGGTGTGAAAAAAAAAAAAAAAAGTAGTTAGTAAACAGTTGATTGACAGTTGAGAGGCGGGCCGAAAGAGCAAAGCTCAACCCCCGTAAAAACACAACTAGTAAACACACGCACACACGCGCACACGCGCACACGCACGCACGTACGTACGTTGGAAAGCCAAAACCACTTACCTTCGACGGCGGTAAAGGCGAGGGTGGAGACCCCACACAGGAACATGGAGGCCTGGCAGAGGTACTGACGGCCCACTCGACACTCCGTGTTCTTCTGCAGCACCACGAAGCCGAAGGCGCAGCAGCCGATCACCCAGCCCAGCCCCAGGTACGTCTGCAGCAGCAGCACGGACACGTCTCCTAGGCCCTCCTCCTGAGCCTGATGCGCCTACACACAGCACAGAGAAATGAACGACAATGAGCTACGGGCCGGTCTTGAGGAGAGACGGGAGTAGAATTCAACTGAATTTCTTCAATTCAGCCATTGAAGAAAACGTCGACAATGTTGGCCAAGGTGGGGGATGACTCTCATAATTATTATAATCTATTTTGTGTGTGTGTGGGGGGGGGGGGGACAGGCAGCCTGTGTATGTATTTACGTTAGGCTTATATCGACGTCTCCCTAAGGTGAAACTATACTGACCCTCCCCAGGATGCAACCCCCACTACAGTTACCTGACTCTCGGGGGGTACCCATTTACTGTTCGGTGAACAGATGCATTAGGTGAAAGAAAACGTGCCCGAGAATTTAGGTCCCTCCCGGGGATCGAACCCACGATCCCCGATAATCAGTCGAGAATTAGGTCTTAGTACTACAGGACCTATATTGTTCAAGTTCAAGTATGTTTATTGAGACAAGAAAGAAATACATCTCAAAGGGATAGAGTAGCTTAGGCTATCTCTACCCCCCCCCCCCTATTGTTCCTGCTATATATCAACAATGATGAACATCGCTCCCCTGAGTCCCATATTGAAATTGAAATTGAAATAAGTTTATTGAGGTAAAATACACACAAAGGGATGAGGTAGCTCAAGCTATTCTCACCCCGTTCAGTACATCGTGTTAATACATACATATACACACATCACAAACAATAAACATATTACCAAACATTCTGAGAGATAAACATCTACATTTCCTAAGAGTCCCATATCGACTGCTAATAGCTTATGAAAAGGCAGATTAAAATGCATCTACGAATACTATTTCGTATTTTAGACCTTATATAGCCAGAATGGGAAATAAATGAGAACATAACTACATAACGAGCCTTCAGATGTGACATATGCAGCAAATTAATGTTGAATTCTCATTTAGTTCCAGTTCCAGTAATGACATTTATATGTAACTGCTAACTGTAGTTGACACTTCAATAACTGTGATAAACTAAGCGAACGCTGCCATAAACTGTTCACTCGTATAATTAATTTGGTTTAGCTTTCAAAAATATTTGAACAATATTTATATTTACACTAATGAACTATTGATTAATCTGCCGTATATGAGGTTTGTCTCTCTAATGACCCGAGCGGCAGTTGTCGACCACTGTACCGGGAGTGGCCATGGTCGACTACTGTACCGGGAGTGGCCATGGTCGACTACTGTACCGGGAGTGGCCATGGTCGACTACTGTACCGGGAGTGGCCATGGTCGACTACTGTACCGGGAGTGGCCATGGTCGACTACTGTACCGGGAGTGGCCATGGTCGACTACTGTACCGGGAGTGGCCATGGTCGACTACTGTACCGGGAGTGGCCATAGTGGACTACTGTACCGGGAGTGGCCATGGTCGACTACTGTACCGGGAGTGGCCATAGTCGACTACTGTACCGGGAGTGTCCATAGTGGACTACTGTACCGGGAGTGGCCATAGTCGACCACTGTACCGGGAGTGTCCATAGTCGACTACTGTACCGGGAGTGGCCATAGTCGACTACTGTACCGGGAGTGTCCATAGTGGACTACTGTACCGGGAGTGTCCATAGTCGACCACTGTACCGGGAGTGTCCATAGTCGACTACTGTACCGGGAGTGGCCATAGTCGACCACTGTACCGGGAGTGTCCATAGTCGACTACTGTACCGGGAGTGGCCATAGTCGACTACTGTACCGGGAGTGTCCATAGTCGACTACTGTACCGGGAGTGTCCATAGTGGACTACTGTACCGGGAGTGGCCATAGTCGACCACTGTACCGGGAGTGTCCATAGTCGACTACTGTACCGGGAGTGGCCATAGTCGACTACTGTACCGGGAGTGTCCATAGTGGACTACTGTACCGGGAGTGGCCATAGTCGACCACTGTACCGGGAGTGGCCATGGTCGACTGCAATACTACTGTATCAGGCAGAAATATGTAAGTTGGGAATACAAAACTAATTGAAGCCTTAAGGACAGGAGGAAGATCATGGTTTGCTGATATTAAATATCATAAGATTAGGTTATCAGTAGAAACGCTAGTCTAGTATGACCAGCATGTTACGAGGACCAGGAGCTGGAATATGAGGTCGGAGTGAAGCAACGGTGCTCACCACTTGGACCATCGGGAATCGAACGCCGATCCCTGCAGGAAGCCATGTAGTCGTTGTACCGCCTTGTGTTAACACCAATTTTATGAATTTCCGATCCATTACTGAATCAAGACCCAGTAAGGGAAACTGCAGACTACGAAACATTATTTATGTCTGTAATGTCTAAACCTCAGAGGAATGTGTAATGTCGTCATAGAAGAAGTCTTCAACTCTGCAACGTTATGTCGTTGAAGAGACGGTCAAGATGCGGGAGGGATGTCGAGGAAGGTGAGGAGAGAGTGCGGGCGACCTAGACACCAGTGTAATAACGCTACGAGAGACATTAGCTAAGCAGAAGATCAAACAGGAATACTGACTTACCAGGTATATTATGGGCGTGGTGATGCCGAAGGAGGAGAGGCCGATGGAGACGAGGAGGATCTGCACCGTGCGGCTCTTGAGTGTGGCCACGTCGAAGAAAGGCGGCTTGTCGTCCTGACGGTTCTTCTCCTTGACCTTCCTCTTCTGGTTCTTCAGGTGTAGGATGGCCCGACGCTGAGGGTGGTAGAGCGAGGCAGAGCGGTAGAAGGTCCCCATCAGGAAGGTCAGGAAGATGACCCCCGTCACCGCCTGCAGCCCAAGACGCCAGCCGATTGACCTGGCCAAGATTGATTGATTGATAAAGATTAAGCCACCCAAGAGGTGGCACGGGCATGAATAGCCCGGAAGTGGCGGCCCTTTTGAGCCATTACCAGTATCAAGGACTGATACTGGAGATCTGTGGAGGCGCGACTGCACCCTGCGTGACGGGAGATGTCTCCCGTGGACCTGGCCAAGTACACGGTACACTGAAATAATCGCTGTCGCTAAGTGAGGTGTGTCAGCAAATCCGTTCTATCCTAGATCCTTGTGCACCAGTGCACTAGCTGCTACCTTACTCACTCTTGAGCTCATGATGATATCCTCATAATGCACCCAGAGCCTGCCAGTGCAGACTACTTATCACGTGCCTCTGTATGACTAACCATCCTGTGTGATGGGGCTATTTGTAGACTACTCATAGCTGAGTGGATAGAGTTGCCTCACACGCGTAGGGCTCGCGGTTCGAGCCTCCTAGAGCCCAGGTAAATTAAATAATAATTGCAAAACCAATAATTATGTGAAATTTAGGGGTCACCTATATGCAGAATTTATGTAAAGCTGATATTAACGTGGTTGATATTGGCGCCATAAACATTCTGAATGGCCTTGTGTAATGGAGTCTGTGGTGTTAGGCCCGGTTGGTTAGTTGTGGTGGTAGTGGTGGTGTGATAGTGGTGGTGGTGTGATGGTGGTGGTGGTAGTGGTGGTGGTGGTGTGATGGTGATGGTGGTGTGATGGTGGTGGTGGTGTGATGATGGTGGTGGTGGTGGTGGTGGTGGTGTGTTGGTGTGCTGTTGGTGGTGGTATAATTACAAAGCTAACGATAGGAGCAAAAATATACGTGTCATATTTATTCTCTTTATACCACACACACACACACACACACACACACACACACACACACACACACACACACACACACACACACACACACACACACACACACACACAGTAGGAATAGAGACAAGATTCCAAAGCAGTAGATTACACTAAAGCGCAACAAGGCCAGCATTCTTCAGGGCTCCACGAAGACTGTAGAGCCGCGCGTGGCAGCAGGCCGGGGACGGGACACCTCCCGCTCTGGACACCAAAACAACACTGAGAAATAACTCTAATATTTCTTCTTTAATGGACCTGAAAGTGATTAATGAGTGTGTGTGTGTGTGTACTCACCTATTTGTGCTTGCGGGGGGTTGAGCTCTGGCTCTTTGGTCCCGCCTCTCAACTGTCAATCAACTGGTGTACAGATTCCTGAGCCTATTGGGCTCTATCATACCTACACTTGAAACTGTGTATGGAGTCAGCCTCCACCACATCACTGCCTAATGCATTCCATCCGTTAACTACTCTGACACTGAAAAAGTTCCTTCTAACGTCTCTGTGGCTCATGTGGGTACTCAGTTTCCACCTGTGTCCCCTTGTTCGCGTACCACCAGTGTTGAATAGTTTATCCTTGTCTACCTTGTTAATTCCCCTGAGGATTTTGTAGGTAGTGATCATGTCTCCTCTCACTCTTCTGTCTTCCAGTGTGGTAAGGTGCCTTTCCCGCAGCCTTTCCTCGTAACTCATGCCTGTTAGTTCTGGGACTAGCCTAGTGGCATACCTCTGAACTTTTCCCAGCTTCGCTGTGTGCTTGACAAGGTACGGGCTCCATGCTGGGGCTGCATATTCCAGGATTGGTCTTACATATGTGGTGTACAAGATTGTGTGCGTGTGAGTGTGCGTCTGTGTCACTTCTGTCGTCATCTTATGTATCGTAATTTCGAATCATCGCTCTTCTAGGTATCTAAATGACTACAGACACCACCCCACACCCACAGACACCACCCCATACCCACAGACACCACCCCACACACCCACATACACCACCCCACACACCCACAGACACCACCCCACACCCCCAGACACCACCCCACACCCACAGACACCACACCCACGCCCACAGACACCACACCCACACCCCACAGACACCACCCCACACACCCACAGACACCACCCCACACCCCCAGACACCACCCCACACCCACAGACACCACCCCACACCCCCACACCCACAGACACCACCCCACACCCACAGACACCACCCCACACCCACAGACACCACCCCACACACCCCCAGACACCACCCCACACCCCAGACACCACCACCCACACACCACCCCACAGACACCACCCCACACCCACAGACACCACCCCACACCCACAGACACCACCCCCACCCACAGACCCACAGACACCACAGACCCACACCCCACAGACACCACCCCACACCCCCAGACACCACCCCACACCCACAGACACCACCCCCACACCCACAGACACCACCCCACACCCACAGACACCACCCCACACCCACAGACACCACCCCACACCCACAGACCCACCCCCCCCAGACACCACCCCACACCCTGGCCAGCCACCACCCCACACCCACAGACACCACCCCACCCCACAGACACCACCCCACACCCACATACACCACCCCACACCCCCACAGACACCACCCCACACCCCACAGACACCACCCCACACACCCACAGACACCACCCCCACACACCCCCAGACACCACCACCCCACACCCACAGACACCACCCCACACCCACAGACACCACCCCACACCCACAGACACCACCCCACACCCACAGACACCACCCCACACCCACAGACACCACCCCACACCCACAGACACCACCCCACACCCACAGACACACACACCCACAGACACCACCCCACACCCACAGACACCACCCCACACCCACAGACACCACCCCACACCCACAGACACCACCCCACACCCACAGACACCACCCCACACCCACAGACACCACCCCACACCCACAGACACCACCCCACACCCACAGACACCACCCCACACCCACAGACACCACCCCACACCCCAGACACCAGACACCCCCACCCCACACACCACCCACAGACCCCCCCACACCCCCAGACCCACACCCACAGACACCACCCCACACCCACAGACACACCCCACCCCACACCCCCACAGACACCACCCCACACCCACAGACACCACCCCACACCCCCACAGACACCACCCCACACCCCCACAGACACCACCCCACAGACACCACCCCACACCCACAGACACCACACACCCCACACCACCCCACACCCCCAGACACACCACACCCACACACCCACAGACACCACCCCACACCCACAGACACCACCCCACACCCACAGACACCACCCCACACCCACAGACACCACCCCACACACAGACACTACCCACACCCACAGACACCACCCCACACCCACAGACACCACACCCACAGACACCACCCCACACCCACAGACACCACCCCACACACCCACAGACACCACCCCACACCCCCCAGACACCACCCCACACCCACAGACACCACCCCACACCCACAGACACCACCCCACACCCACAGACACCACCACCCCAGACACCACCACACCCCAGACACCACCCCACACCCACAGACACCACACCCACACACCACCCCAGACACACCACCCCACACCCACAGACACCACCCCACACCCCCCAGACACCACCCCACACCCACAGACACCACCCCACACACACCATAAGACCACCCAACACCCAGAGATACACCACCCGTAACACCACACCCACAGACACCACCCCACACCCCCAGACACCACCCCACACACCACAGACACCACCCCCCCTCTTGTTCCAGGGAAGAGTTGGCCCTCTTGTTCCAGGGAAGAGTTGGCCCTCTTGTTCCAGGGAAGAGTTGGCCCTCTTGTTCCAGGGGAGCGTTGGCCCTCTTGTTCCAGGGAAGAGTTGGCCCCTCTTGTTCCAGGGAAGAGTTGGCGCCTCTTGCTCCAGGAGAGAGTTGGCGCCTCTTGTTCCAGGGGAGCGTTGGCCCTCTTGTTCCAGGGAAGAGTTGGCCCCTCTTGTTCCAGGGAAGAGTTGGCCCTCTTGTTCCAGGGAAGAGTTGGCCCTCTTGTTCCAGGGGAGCGTTGGCCCTCTTGTTCCAGGGAAGAGTTGGCCCCTCTTGTTCCAGGGAAGGGTTGGCCCCTCTTGTTCCAGGGAAGAGTTGGCCCCTCTTGTTCCAGGGAAGAGTTGGCCCCTCTTGTTCCAGGGAAGAGTTGGCCCCTCTTGTTCCAGGGAAGAGTTGGCCCCTCTTGTTCCAGGGAAGAGTTGACCTCTCTTGGTCCAGGGAAGAGTTGGCCCATCTTGTTTCAGGGAAGAGTTGGCCCTCTTGTTCCAGGGAAGAGTTGGCCCTCTTGTTCCAGGGAAGAGTTGGCCCTCTTGTTCCAGGAAGAGTTGGCCCCTCTTATTCCAGGAAGATGTCAACAGCTCATAAAACGGAGGAAAGGGGCCTGAAAGATATTGTTAATAGGAACGTTATCCCTACAGACAAAAATCAGAAGATACAATTGACGATTTACTTTAAAACCAAAAACACGGCCAAACTACTCATAAAAAACTCTCCAGACACAAAACAGAACGCCCTAAAGGAGACCAACGTCGACTATGCCTTCAAATGCCCAATTGGGGACTGTAAGCCCCAAAGAACTCAGTATATAGGCAAGACAACAACATCTCTTTCCAGGCGATTAACAATGCATAAGTAACAGGGCTCCATTAAGGAACATATAATCTCTTCCCACAACCAGACCATCACCAAAGAAGTCTTAACAAACAACACAGAAATCATCGATAGATACAGCGATAGCAGGCGGCTCGACATCTGCGAGCCACTACACATCAAAAAGTCAACACCATCAATCAACAGCCAATTAATGCACAACTATATTCTACCCACTTCAAGACTCCGTACCAATATAGAAGCATCAAGAGGAAGTATGGGCCAATAGGCCCTTTGCAGTTACTTCCATTCTTATGCTCTCATATATCCAATTAATACCCCATTGTTCCGTGTTCTGTCTTGTGTTTGTCAAAAGTTTGTTCACCTCATCCAAAACTGTTGTACCATATCACCTCACCCAAATGCGAGTATAAATATGGAAGCAAATTGCGTGTT